TGTGTATAAGAGACAGGAGGGACGTTGTGAGGCTCGGGGCTTAGGGGGCCGTGATGGCCCCTTCCACGTGAGTCTGTGGGCCCAGGGAGAAGGGGCTTTGGGGGGCCCATGGGGTCCCCGTGGGTCTTAGAGGCATTGGGGAAGGGTGAGAATGGGGGGCTGGAGTGGGCTGGGGGCCTGAGCGGGGGTGGGGGGTGTGTGTAGGAATTGCCTGGAAGAGTCTGCGGGGAGCACGGTGGGGAGAAGGGCAGCGATGGGGACGAGGCTCGGGAATGCTGTGAGGTGCATAAGGAAATGGTGGCTGGGGACACGGCAGGTACCTGCACCCTGAGGTGCTCGGGGACGAGCCCCCGGAAGGACTTTGTGTCCCTGCAGCGGCCAAAGCGCCTGTTCTCAAAGTCGGGGTCCCCAGAGCCGGTGCAGTTGAAGAGGGGCCCTGGAGACACCAGTTGGGCCCTTTGGCACCTGTGAAGTTTTTCTGCTGTTAATTCCTTTCCCGACTGTAAAACTCGCTGCTGGAAAAGCCGCACAGGACCGGGGTGGGATTTGCATTTTGGAGAGTACGGGTGCGCGTGGGGCTGCTGGGGGTGCCCTGGGACGCTGGCAGCGTGGGTAATGTTTCCTCCTGGCAGCCACTTCAGCCTGTCACCTCGGTGCTGCGTTGTGCCAGCTTCCACGCTGAGATAATTAGTGGCCCTTACTGCTCTTGGGGAATTGAAGGCGTGTGAGGTCGAGGGTTTTAATCGATGAAAAAAAAAAAAAAAAATCTGCTTGCAAAGCTGGAATAGGGAGCACGGTGCTTGCTGCGGTGTGCATGCTGCCCGCCCTTCGCTGTCACCTGCGCTTCGTGAGCTTTCCTTGGCTTGTGGGGCAGCTCTGCGTGTTTGCAGCTGTGGGAGCAGCGGCACAGGGAGGGGGAGAAGGCGGTCAGCTGGTGTAGTTGGGGTGGTTTTCAGTGCTTTTCCTCCAAAATTGGTAGTTTGGCGAGACCGTCTGTGTGAAGCGTGGTAAGAGCTTGTGCCCCCGCCCTGCGGCGTGTGTCGCCGCTGGAGAGCGGGTACAGAGGGGTGACAGGAGGATTCAACCTCAAATCCAGCAACTGAATGTCTTAAACCACGAATCGGTTGCTCTTGAGTGGCTGCTTGCTATATTTTAAGCTATTCACTGGTGGGTTTTTATGCCAGACGGGTGTTTTTCCAATCAGGTTTTGAGGAGTGCCGAGGTATATGTGCGCCCGCTGGAACCAGGTTGGCTGAGCTCTGCTCTGAACCAGTGAGTCGCCTCCTGTGTCGTTGCCATAAGCGAGACTTAAAGCAAACTAGTAAGCACAGAGTAAACTTGCACATGTGAGCTCTTTAGTTCAGTGCCAGCAGCAGATGGGAAACCTCTTTCCTGAAAAAACCTGGAAGATCTTCAGTCTCTGACCCCCCCCCAGTTGAAATTCCTGGTTTTGAGTCCATTAGGAAACAGCTTTTGGGGGTGGCTGAGGGGCAGAGAGGCCGTCGCGAGGAGGTGGCTGATAAGGAGCTTCACGCAGGGCCGTGCTTATCCCTCTGCTGTGGTTCCACAAAATCTGTGTGCTTGTGTCTCCAGGGATCTTGGCAGCTCGTTGGGCCGAGCACGTCGCTGAGGAACTGTTAACGGCAGAAGTCTGAAAGCGGTTTAACGTTTTGCTTGGCGCACCTGTGTGGGGCAAACGGTGTGTCGGGTGGCTTCAGCTCTGCCCGTTTGTAACTCGGGCTGTTGGCAAAGGTTTCATTTACAATTATTGAAGCGTTTGGTCGGTCGGGGCCAACGGTTGTTATTGCATTGTTTTATGAACAGAAGAAACTGAGATTCATAAATCTGCCTTGAGTGAATATCCAGGCTCTCAGTGCTCTTGAGATTTACCTTCCAGTTGTTTTGGGTTGTTCCTTGGGGGTGATGCGAAACAAATACCGAGGTGGGAGCTGCGGGAGAGATGAGATCAGGTCCCAGGCATCCTGGATCCTCGGCTCCTGCGCCTCAGCCCGCCGCTGCGTGCAGCAGATGCTAGGTGCTGTTGGGTTGGGTGGCCAAACTACTGCAGAGCTGCCAAACATGAACTGTGGGCTGCTCTGTAGCTTGGAACTGAAATCAGCAGCTGCTTATTCTCCATCCTCGAGATGTTCCTCCTTACCTCCTTCCCAGATTTAGAGCGTAAGGAGATTACAGCCAGCTCGCAGCAGGGCGGTTGGGACGTGAGCCTGGAGATCCTCCTCTCTCCCCCCACGTCTGGATTGCAAGAAACAGGCAGTTACGGGGTTTGGATTGTAGGGAAGCGCAGCCGTTGTGTCTCCTAGAGGGAGGTAATTTTCTTGACTGTCCTGGCTGTGGGAGTCACAGGTTTGTGGCAGCTTTGGGGCATTAGCCCCTGCTGAAAATTGAGGAGTGGCATGAATTTCATCCAAAGGCCACGACACCATGTCCGAGGAGAGAATTAGACTTTAGTCGTGAATACCCAGTCGCTCCCAGTCATCACCCAGAGGGTGATGAACTTTTTCTGAAAAAAATTTGGTTTAAGAGCTCTAGCTGGTCGCACACAGTGTGTCCTGTGCTGGTATCACCAGCTGGAGGAGGTGCTCAAGAGAGTGTATTTTCAGATACTGCAGTCATCCTCGTGGTTCTTGTCCGACCCTTCTCGTCTCTAGTCTGGTAAAGGGAGGTTTAAGAGCAAAAACTGCACAGCTTAGCTGATGGGGATGGAAGAGAACCCCAAAACCGGGTGTTAAAATGAGACATCCCCAACTTAGAAATAGAGTTTAACAGCAAGAGCAGGTGCTTCCTGGCACCATCTCTCACACTTGGATTTAACGCTGCTGTTTGTTTTTAGAACCAAAATTAGATTTCTTTGGTAAGAGAGCGTGTGGATCAAGCAGGGGTTAACTGGAGAGTCCAGCTTGGGGTGGCTGCTCTGCCAAGTCCTCTCTGGCAGTTATCAGATCGTTCCCCCTCTGACTGAACGTCCCATTTGTCACGTCCCGGCCCCCTCTTAATAAAGTTATTTCAGGAGCTTTAAGCTCAGGGGAATCTGGTTAGTCCCCGTAATTGAGGGAAAATTGTGTCTCTCCGTTGTGGATTCCTGCACCTGTGAGGACAGCGAAGGTGGCAGTTGTTGGCTTTGGAGGACAGCTAGAGGAAGCCCTCTTCTCTGTGACATTTCCTCAGGATTTGGGGATGAGAAGGCTTTAGCTTGTTTACTGGAATAATTTGCAAATTTTGGGAAGATGCTGAAAGAACGAGGCTGAGAAGTGTTCCCCAAGCATGGGACAGGCTGGTGTGGGTGGAACGGCCACTGGCGCGGCACAGAGGAGTGACCAGAAGCCACTGGAGGGGCGGGGGGGGCGGGAAATTGATATGTTTAGAAGGCGCTGGGCTGTCTGTGCTTGTAAAACATCCTCATCCAGCGAGGACTGGGGGAAGCAGGGATCTCCTGGGGGGTGGCAGTGGGAGCCCCCAGGTGACTGCCCGGAGCTCGCAGCGAGATTGACCTGCACCGGAGCTGACCTGGGCCAACAAGCACTCGGGTTTCTTACCTTCCCCTGCTTGCAGTGACCCAAGAACGTTTGAGGTTTTTTAAATTTTTTTTTTTTAACCTGATTATCAGAGTAGTTGTTCCAACTGCGAATTGCACAGCTGACTTTTTGAAGGGAAATTGGCGACTGAACTGGGCGTGGATGCTTTCGGAACAGGAGAGCTGGGGGAACTGAGGCGATACGAGCGCGCTGCTTGGAGCCGGTGTCACTTCGTCACCACCTACGCTCCGTTTCCTACGCAAGCCAGCGAGCTCGAGTGGGGATTTTCATAGATCTCTATTTAGTGTCTGCCTGAGTACTGGAGTGCTTCTCGAAGGCCTCGGGGACTGAATCTCTCACAGGCATCGCTCTGGGGTGCGGCGCAGCAGATGTGTAACAGCACGCAGACGGGTGGCTGCCACCCTGCCTTTCCCTCTCTCCTCACCCCGGGGTATAATTAGGTGCCGCGGAGGAAACGAAGCGGCTGCGCACGTGTCCTCGGCCGAGCCCAGGCGCAATCGGAGGTGCTGCCTGCGAGACACCTCTCAGGGGAACAGCCCTGAGGGATCTGTCGTGCGGTGGCACGTCACCGTCTGCTGCGCTGTCCCCACGAGAGCCCTGGGGTAAAGGTTGAAGCCGAGCCGGTGGGGTGAGGTGGAGCCCATTCCTGCATACACGTCTCCGGTGTGCGCAGAAAACCATGATAACGATGTCCTTGGAGTGACTTGTTTCCCATCTCTCTCCTTACGGCCCCACAACTGCTCCTGGTAAACGTCAGGCATGGGTTACTCAGGGCTGGCAACTGGGGTAAGTTGGAGGATCATGCTGGAGGGTCTGCAACCAGATGGGGGGTTTGTAAGCTCCATCTTTCTATGCCCAGCCCCAAGCGAGCCACTGGAGGTTTTATCTGTGCTCGTTTCTCACCAGGGAAAGGTGAGATGAAGTCAGGGCTGCGTGATTTTGTTTCCTGTCTCCTCAGCGCCGTGGGTCAGGGTTTGTGCTGGCACTGGGGCCAGCGTTGCCCAGCCAGTGAGCCCGCTCAGGGCCATGGCCAGTGCTGGAGGCCGCTTCAGCTCTTCTGTGGGGATAAAAAGCCCCAAGAGAAAGCTGTAATGCAATGCCGATGGTCCCCCCCACCCGTCCCCAGTCCAAATGCCTCATGGTGAGAGCATTCACACTGGTTAGCACCGAGCCGAGGTTCTGCAGAGGAGGCTTTGAAATCACTGACTCCGGTTACTTCTGTCCCTAAACCTGTCAGACAGAAGATGTCCTTCACACCCTGCGTCCCGCCTGGTGCGCCCAGCTGGCATTAAACACGGATTGCGCCAGCCCATCATCTCCTCACTGATAACGGCAACTCCTTTCGCTCTCGGTTGCTCTTGTCAGGCAAAAACTTTGCTGCCCTTGATGCTTGGGAGAAACTTCCAGCCGCATCAGCAAAGCAAGTCCTCAACCTTTCTTTTTCTGTGGTTCTTTCCGTGATGGTTTGTTGCATCCTGCGGGCTGGTGGGATTTCGGGCTGTCCTGTCTGTGGCGTGCGCAGAGACACCTGGCTGGGTTGTGAACATGGGACTTAAACCAATTTCTCCGGTGCACGTGGGGCGGGCTGGCGGGCAGAGCCTTGGCTGCCATAAAATACGGGAGTATCCAGGGAAGAGGATTTGATGGAGGAGCAGCGGGGCTCTGCGGGTCTCCCCGTGCTGCCCCGAGGTCGGAGGATGGCTCTGGGCTGTGGTGTTATAATGGGCACAACGAGGGTTTGCCGTTTAAAGTTTCTGAATCCAGAATTTCCCTTCTTAAAGCTCTCAAAGCTGCTCCCAAACTTCAGTGGCTGATTCCTTTGGTGTTGTTTTTCTTTTTTTCCTTCTTCCCTAGGTTGATCTTTCGCACTTGTCCCCAGAGGAGAGATGGAGGTGAGTCTGGGGTAGGTGAACCAGTGCCCACAGCTCGAGCTTCTGCTCCTGAGCGCAGCTCCCAGCCCGTACTCGCATGATGGCAGCCTTCCCTGCGCAGTGATATTTCTTAGGGGGAATTATGAGCTGTCTTAAAAAGCAGCACTGATGGCGTTTCTTCTAAACTGCTTGCTAGATATTCCTCCTTTTCCCTTAGCCAAACCCTTTTCAGCCAGAGGCTTGTTGAAAAGCGCAGCAGAACTGGTCTTCTCTCAGTATTAATTTACAGAGGATGGTGTAAGATCAGAGAATTCAACGTATTTGTTGCGTTTGGATTTTTGTTTTCTCCTAACTTGAACTGTCTTGTCAGCTTAAGACCGAGATGTCAGGATGTTTCAGGTCTTCATTTTGCCTTGGTTTCTGCTCAAACAGCACCAGCTGCGAAGAAATCCCAGGGTGTCTGTAGAGCATCAGCCTGGAAATTGCTTGTTCCAGGATGCGAATGGGGTTGCCTTGGGCAGAAAGAAGCCCTTTGCTGGGGTTTGGGGGTTTTGCCAGGTGTGGACCATGCCCTCGCTGCCCGTCCAGCCTTTTCCTTGCTGGGCCAGAGGGAGAAAGGTGCTGGGGGCTCTGAAACTGGGCTGAGGGTTTGGCATTGAGCAGCAGCGCACGCTCGGCTGATGCCGTGTGCCCCATGCTCCTTAGTTCAGGTACACGGATGTGAGTTCTCTCCCCCTCATTCACACCACAATGGGCTGGAGGGTGGTTTTGGCTTTCCCAGTTTACATAGAAGCTCATCTCAGAGAAGCCCCTTTCTCCTCTGACCTGCACCGCAGTCCCCATCTCCACGACGCTCCTTTGTGGTGTGTCTCTGGCGTTCCTGGCTGCTGGCCCCGTTGTGCTCTTTGCCCGTGGTCCGTGCTGCCCATGTACTTTTGGGCCACTTTTTCCCTCTTGTTACAGGGTGGAGCACGCGCAGATGCATGCCAAGCACCGTGGTCACGAGGCGATGCACGCCGAGATGGTCCTCATCCTCATTGCCACACTGGTGGTGGCCCAGCTCCTTTTGGTTCAGTGGAAACAGAGGCACCCCCGCTCCTACAACGTAAGTGTCTCCCACAGACTCCCAGAATCATTGTGGTTGGAAAATCCCTTGCAGCCCCTCCAGCCCAACCATGACCCTCCCCCTGACCCTTCCCAACTCCCCCAGATCCCTCAGCGCTGGCTCAGCCCGACTCTTCAACCCCTCCAGGGATCCCGGGGACTCCCCCCTGCCCTGGGCAGCCCATTCCAACGCCCAACAGCCCCTTCTGCACAGAAATCCTTCCTCAGAGCCAGCCTGACCCTGCCCTGGCGCAACTACACCACCTCTTATGTCTCTGAGGCCAGGTGTGAGCGCTGAGTGCCACTTATCCTTTACCCAGTGAGAAGGATATTCCCCTTTTTTCCTCCTCTTATCTAGTATCTTCCCAGCGGCAGTGGGGGGCTCTAGCTAGGGGTGCAGATGGATGCACCTGGAGACCTCGAGTTCAAGGTCTTTTCCAACCTAGATGATTCTGTGAGTTTCTGGTAGAGGTGATGCTGATAACGACTCGGTTTTATGTAGTGCTGTGGTAGTGGGTGACGGGCCAGGCAGATCTCAGGTACTGTCCTGAGGGTAAGGCCAAGGGAAGGTGCATTTTGTGGGCGCTTCCTCAGCACGAAGCAGGCTGCTTGCTGCCAGGACCCTGGGTTTGATGGTTCCCGTGGCACCACTGTGCAGCCCTGCCACCTGCTGACACCACCAGCTTGTCAGGGACTGTTGTTTCACCCCAGCCAACCTCACCCTTACCGTCATTAATGTTTCCAGGCAATATCTGTAATCCTCTGTGAACTTTAACCTGAATCTGTTTGCGTGTTCCCCTCTGGCAGCACCTCAGGAGCCGTAGATCGCTTTTGGGAATGGGCTGCAGGGCAGAGGCAAGACTAAAACCTTCTGCTGCGCCTTGTTTAATCTTTGCCTGAGGTGTCTGTGGTTGCAGTGTTCGGGACCCTGGGAAGGTGAAGGTTTAGGTAGCTGCCTTATGACAACTAGTTAGGTGGATCCATCTCCTGTACCTTCCTCTGGAGATCTTTCCCCGGCGTTCTCCCGCCAGCCCTCATCCTCTGCTACCAGAGATTACCAGGCTGCTGCCTCCTGCTCCTTCCATCAGGCTCTGAGCCTGTTCTTGAGGTGCCCTAGACTGAACCTTCCGTGTTCCCCGGTGCTGCTTGGTGCAGGCAGCAGAACGGCTGCCAGGGTGTTTCTGATGCCTGATGAGCAGAGAACCAGCTCAAAATGCCTCCCCTGTGTTCCTGCAGATGGTCACCCTCTTCCAGATGTGGGTAGTGCCTCTGTATTTCACGATCAAGCTGTACTGGTGGCGGTTCCTGGTAATCTGGGTGCTCTTCTCAGCAGTCACAGCTTTTGTCACCTTCAGGGCAACTCGAAAACCTCTGGTACAGACAACACCCAGGTCGGTACATGTGTTCCTGGGAAAACTCCTCAGCCCCGGGGTAACCATTACAAGGAGCTTTTTCCAGTTGTTATTGCCTTAAACTTTGCACCCTGGGGCTGCTCAGGCCCTGCCCGGGGGATCAGTTGGGTGGTGTGAAGCACTAACCAGCCGCTGGCAACCAGCCCCGTGCACGTGGTAGCCGAGTGGGTGGTGGAAAAGCAGATCCCGCCTGGGCTGGTAGCTCCACTGAGGGCATTCCTGGGTGAAAAGTGTTTGTTTACAGCCTTTGGAGATCCTGAGGTTTCTAATTTGGCAGTTGAGGGCGTGAGTGGCCCGTGGTAGCAGTGGATCTGTAGCTTGAATTAGAAATGTAAAGCTCTCTTGCCCCTGCGTGTGGCGAGCTAAAGTGTCTGCAGACAGCACCGTCTGGGTTTGAAAAGGGAAACTTGAGGTGCTTGGTGCAGTTTTATTCAGGAAAAATGAAGTAAAGTTCTTGTTTTAATTCTTTACAGGCTGGTTTATAAATGGTTTCTACTAATATACAAGATCAGCTATGCCACCGGGATCGTAGGGTACATGACTGTGATGTTTACACTTTTTGGTCTTAACTTATTATTCAGGTGAGTGACTCTTTGGGGTCCTAATCCTGGGGTGGGGGGTGTAACACAGTGTGGAATAAGGCATTGGCTATGATTCTGGGTGGCTAGTTATCTTAGAAATCTGATTAACGGGACCAGAGAGACTCTTGGGGTGTCGTCTCCCTGCTGGGAGGGTCACGGGTGAGGTGCTGGATTACCTGAACTGGTGCTGTGGGTTGTGTCAGCACACTGGCTTTGCACCCCTGCAGCCCCCTCTCCTTCCCCCAATTAAAAAAAAAAAAAAAAAAAAGCTCTTGTTGTCGTTTGGGCTCTTCTGTTGTAGAATCAAACCTGAAGACGCGATGGATTTTGGCATCGCCCTCCTCTTCTATGGTCTTTACTACGGGGTGCTGGAGCGGGACTTTGCCGAGATGTGTGCGGATTACATGGCCTCGACCATCGGGGTGAGTTAGAAGGATCTGTTCAGCCCCTCTAACCTCCTGACAAATTTTTCTCTACCCTGGGCCTTTAAAAATCTGTGGTGCCGAGGAGCTGCGGGTGCATTAACCCGCAGCCACGTGGAAGGATTCACACCTCAGGCTTCCCGCTGCAGCTTGTGCTCGCTGTGCCCGGCGGGCATGTTCCTGCCTGCCTAAAATCTGTAGCCTGCCCACCTGGTACCAAAAACCCCATTCCACCAAGAAATACATGACCTAGGACACTGTTAGAGTAGGTCATGTTGCTTCTTTGCAGCAGCTCTTCAGGGTCTTGGACTCTGTGTTTCCTCCTCCTCTCTGAGCTTTCTGCTGCTCCTTGGAGGTTCTGCCGCAGCCCCTCGCCAGCCGCCTTCCACTTGCACTGGGATACCTCAGCAGAGCTCGGGTCTCCCCCCATGGAGGCCATGGGCATCCAGGACAGGCCTGCAGTAGCCCAGGGGCTTCCTGAGGGTCTGGTCTGGCTGCAGGAGGATGCTCAGAGCAAAGCTGTGCCAGGTCTCTGCTGATGATCCTGAACTAGGAGGAACTGTGGGCTCCTTTGAGGGTAGAGAGGCCTTACAGAGAGGTCTGGGTAGACTGGAGAGCTGGGCAATCACCAAGTATGAAATTTAACAAGAGCTAGTCCTATATTTTCTGCTTGGGATGGGCTAATCCTGGTTCTATATATAAACTACTGGAGTGTGCCCAGAGGAGGGCGACCAAGATGGGGAAAGGCCTCGGAGGCAAGACTTAGGAGGGACTTTGATCGCTGCAGCTTGGAGAAGAGAAGGCTGGGAGGTGACCTCATCGCAGTCTACAACTTCTTCAAGGGAGGCAGTTGCTGGTCTCTGGTGACTCAGTGATAGGACACGAGGAAATGGGGTGAAGCTGCGTCAGAGGAAGGTCAGACTGAAAGGAAAAGGCTCTTTGCTGGGAGGGCGGTTGATCCTGGGATGAGGCTCCCCAGGGCAGTGGTCACAGCCCCTCGAGCCTGTCAGGGTTCAGGGAGCATCTAGATGATGCTCTTAGTCCTATGGTTTAGTTTTAGGCAGTCCTGGGGGGAGGTGGGAGTTGGACTCTGATCCCCATGGGTCCCTTCCAACTTGAGACGTTCTAGGCTTCTGTGGGAGCTGGGACACAGCACCAGTGATCTGGGACTCGTGGCCGTTCCAGAAGCCTGTGGGACCGCAGCTGCGTGCAGGGGAAACCCGGTCGCTGGCCCCATCGGGCCGGTGCTGACCCAACGCGCTTGGAAACGGGGGGAGGCGGCCTCTCTGCGCTCTGCTCTTTTGCCATCCAAGCTTCAGGGACCTGTGGCTCACGTTCCAATGCCAGCCCAGGGTTGTCATTTTGGGTCAAAGCTCTGCCCTCCAGCTGGTCCTGCTTTCACCCCCGGCAGCTGACAACTCACCAGGAGTGGTCCCCAGCACGGAGGGGTTGGGGTCACCACGTCACTGAGCAGCTCCCTGTCCTGTTGTCATTGTTTCCTGCAGCCGACCTGTAAGGAGGTTTTTAAGCCCAAAAGGCCAAGGTTGGCCTCAGCCCTTCTTAAAGCTTAGCCGCGCGGGCTGCCTGCCCTCCCGCTGTCACCGCTCTCCCTCTGCTCTGCCCTCCCCTCCCGCAGTTCTACAGCGCCTCGGGGATGCCCACCAAGCACCTCTCCGACAGCGTCTGCGCCATCTGCGGCCAGCAGATCTTCGTGGACGTCAACGAGGAGGGGATCATCGAGAACACCTACCGCCTCTCCTGCAACCACGTGTATCCTTCTCCTCAGGAGCCGGCCCCTCACCGAGACTCCTGCCTCCTCCTCCCCCCAGCCAAGTTCCCCCCAGCCTGGGGTGAAGAAACACCCGTCTCGGGGCCATTGTGCTGATTTTGCGCGTGATCTATGCCTGTGTCATAGCTGACGTGGCAGGGAGAGGCCAAGTCCTGCGTGTCCCCCAAATCGCTTCCTTGCCGCCTCCGTGCGCGTTACAAGCAGTTGCTTCCTCTTCCTCCCCCTCCCCAGCTCCCCCCCCTGCCCCACGCTGCCGTAGAGCCACGTCTTGCTTGCCAGTGGCCTTTGCCAAATCCACTGGCCCCTGCTCACCCCGTGCTTGCCGCCGTGCCATGTAGGAGTGTGAAGTGTCCCCAAGCCAACCTTGCAGAGAACCTCCGAAGGGAAGAGTGGGGATGGAAAAAGCTTCCTGCCCCGCAGCATGGCTCCAAAACCAGCCCCCAGGCTCTGGCACTGCCCTGCCCTGCCTGCTCCAGCCGTGGCCCAGCAGCATCCTCCTTCCCCAGAGCTCCTCTGGCTGTGCCCAGGGTTTTCCAGCGCCCCGCAATCACGTGGCCCTTCCCATCAGCTGACCAGTGCACAGTCATTTTGGGAACTGGAAGTCCCCGTCCTTGCTCAGCCCCAGCGGGACCGAGCTGGAAGGAGGGAGGGCATGGGGGGGGAGTTTCCTGGCCATGACTCAGTGGCGGAGGTGGGGCGTCCTCGGGCACCGCTTGTGTTTCTGGCTGTGAGGTGGTTTCCAAACTGAGCCTGAGCAAAGGTCACGCTGGCAAAACTCGTTGCCTGAATTTAACCGCTAGAAACTGGCGGGGTTGATGCTGACCTGGCCCTGGCAACTGACCCCATGTGGGGTCCGGGCTTCGGTGCCACCACCCTGCAGCAGCTCCCGGGGGGGGTTTGGGGCTCATGGTGGTCCCTGGGGGGGTGAGGGCTGGCTGCTCTCCAGCGTTAACCCTCGGTTCGAGGAGCAGAGGCATTACCTGGGGCGGTTTCTGTTTGCTTGGTGACGCCTTCATGCGTGGCAGCATCTCTGTCACGGGGCCGTGACTGCAGCCGCCTCACACTTCCCTGTTGTTTTTTCCCGCCTGCACTCAGGTTGGGTGACTCCTCACTACCCGGTAGCTGGCATCTGGAAGTCAGACGCTGGGAAAAATTACTTAAATCTGTTGTTAATCCCCAAGAAGCCTTTGCATGAGCCTTGTGTAAGGCACACGCTCAGATCCACAGAGCTCTCGGCAGTGCTTGAAGCCCCCGGTGCTCCCTTCCTGAGAAAACAGTGTGTCCCGTGATGGTGTGCCACATTCTTTGGGGCCAAACCTCCCCTTTTTTTGTCAGTCCAACAGCAAACCTTGCTGCTCTTAGCTGAGTGCAGTCGCCAGGCAAAGGTGTCCCTGTGCCAGACTATATGAAAGAATGTGTAACCTCTGTGGGCCACGAATCTTCCATTTGGGGAATGAATTCACGGGTTAGAGGAATCTCTGCCATCTAGAAAGTAGAGACTAACTAAGCATTGAAACAAGTTACTGTTATCAAATGCTAAAAATGTTCTTGCTCCAGAGTGGCTGCTTTCCTGGAGTGTCTGGCCAAGAGCTTAGAAATCTCTTGAGCGGCGCTTTGCCACAGGAGCTGGAGGGATCAGCAGCACGTTGCCCAGAGCGGATACCAAGCATCTCAGGGCAGCCTGGTGCAGTGATTGATCATATTTCCTGGCAGCACTTTTGTTGCTAAAATACCCTTTTTGAGTTAAGTCTATCCTAAAAAAAGCCATCCCCTGCCCCCTCCTCTTGCCCTTGTATCTGAGGAGCTTTTCACCCAGTGTGAGCGTCTGCGGGGCGATGTGTCGTGCCAGGCTCTGTGGGTGAAGGATTTGTGTCTCCTTGGTGCCCGGCGCGTCAGTGCCCGCCCCGTCAGCCCCTTCCTGGGTGCCTGGAAGGTGCTGCACCTTCTAAGAAGGGCCTGTAGTTGTGCAACGCGGCCGTGGGATGTTTCCTGTCCCCCACGCAGAGTGGCGTGGTGATGACTTTTTTTTTTTTTGGAAGCTTACTGGTTTCCTCCATGCTTGATCGTGTCCCCCCCTCCCAACCTCCTCCAGTTCCCCTTAACATGCTGCTCCTCAGCTTTCACGAGTTCTGCATCCGTGGCTGGTGCATCGTTGGGAAGAAGCAGACGTGTCCATACTGCAAAGAGAAGGTGGATCTCAAGAGGATGTTCAGTAACCCGTATCCTTTCCCTTTGCGTGACAGCCTCAGGGACGAGTCCGGGAGCTGCTGGCTGCTCCTTGGGGCTTGCCCTGGCACCCCGGGCAGGTCGCTGCCAGCCAAGACTGTGCAGAATCTGTCCCCGGGCTGGGCACGGGGCACCTGGCACAGATCAATGGGCCTGACCCGGGGAGGGTGGGAGGCTGCGGCCTCCAGCGAGGTGGCTGGTCCCTTGTCTGAAGGATGAAAATGTTCCCAAAGCCCTTCTCGGTTGCCCCTCCCCAGCACCTGCCTGCTGGTGGGAGGGCTCAGCCCCACCTGTCCTGGCACCCCCTGCCCACCAGCAGGAGGGCTCAGACCCCCCAGGTCCCCTGCCTGCTGTCAGGAAGGCCTAGCACCCCAATTCTGGCCCCCACAGCCCCCTGTCCTGCCCCCTCCAGCCTCTCTCTGTGTCAGGAGGCCTCAGCCCCCCCATCCTGCCCCGCGCCCCCCTCCCCACACCACCACAGGGGTGACTCTAGCCCCAGGTCTTTCCCACCTCCAGCTGCCAGCGCAGGCAGGCACTGGGTTTGCTCCCGTGTGGGACGTGGGTGCCCCAACCCCGAGGTGGGTCCTGTCAGTCCCACAAGAGGAGGAAGAGGAGGAGGAGGAGGTGAAGCCAGC